TTGCACATTTTACTTCATTTTTTATTTTTGAGATAAGTGTCAAATAGACCCTTTAAATATATACCAAAATACAATTAGATCTTCGAGATATATATATATATATATATATATTTTAAAAATATTTAATTGAAGCCTTAAACTTTTTAAAAGTATGCAATTGACACATTTGACCTATAATAACATGTTACCCCAAATCACATGTCATAAAAAATGTCACGTCGATTAATAATTTTGAAACCTACTTTTAAAAAATAAAAAAAATTATATTTAAAAAAACAACAACAACAACAACAACAAAAACTTGCCATGGTTTCTACGTCCATGTCTATATGGATGGATCTTTGTCCAGATCAACATGGACGCAGAAGCTTTATGGGCTTCTCTGTCCAGTTTAGAAGGAGAAGCCTACTAGCTTTTCCGTGGCAAACTATGTTGTGGAACCGTGTCCATCTTGTAAGGTGTACACAGTTTCAAAACTATTCAAAGTTATGAATATGTAGTTCAAAAATTATAAATATATAGTTTTATAAGTGTGAATATATAGTTCAGTAATTATGAACATAAAATTCTATAATTGTGAATATAAACTTCAATAATTATGAATATAAAATTCAAAAATTATGAATATATAGCTTTATAATTATGAATATATAGTTTAGTAATTATAAACATAGAATCATGTCCACCGGGACACTTCCGCTGCATAACGATTGATTATCTTCAGTGGCGGCTAAAGCATGGATTCATGGTACATGTTAAGCTAACATTATCCCTGCAAATCTCTCCCACTCTAAAAAATGGGTCCCACTTCCACATCAACTTATTTGCAAGTCATCCACTATTCACACTACATCCTTACAAATCTCTCTCACTCACAAAAATGGGTCTCACTTTTATTTTATATTACTCCATCCGTCCAATTTTCCCTGTCTTACTTTCCTTTTTTATCCGTTCCAAAATATTGTCTACTTTCCAAAAATGATATCATTATATTTTTATTTTTACAAGATTGCCCTTTAGACTTTAACCACAATTCCACACAATATTGCCCTAAAAAGCTGTGCCCAGGCCAGTTTAGAGAAGAAGAATAAATAAACTTTTATTCTTTGTTCTCCTCACTTCCATTTCAAAATTTCCTCTTCAGAATCCCCATTCATCATCAGTATCATCTTCCTCTTCTTCTTCTTTTCTTCTTGCAATTAATGGGTTTCAATAGTCGACACCGACATATGCTCTCGTCAAAATTTTATTACTCCCTAAATTGATGACCCTCGTTTCTGTTAGATATGTAAACATCACTATCTTTGATTTTTTTTTTTTAAATCTATTTTTATAGTTGAATGCAGATCTGGTGATTTTTAAAAGTATTAAGTTTATTTATTTATTTATTATTATTATTATTATTATTATTATTATTATTTTGTTTAATTGCTAGCTTAGGTGTATAGAGAAGAATAGAAAAAAAAAACGGTTATGAAGCATAAGAGCATTTGTGTGATGAAGATGAAGAAGATGAGATTAAGGAAGAAGAGGAACAGTACGGGAGCAGCAGGAAAGTTGGAGAAGACAAGGGCATACATGAGTGTTCAAAAAAGAAACAAGGGCATAAATGAAAAGAGAGTCCACTTTTATTGTTTGTCTTAAAATTTGTGCCAAAAGCAAAGAAGACATGCATTTCGGGACTGAAGGAGTATATATATAAGAATAAAATAATAAAAAAATAAAAACTAAAGAAAAGTACAAATTTGCAGGCAGCATGGCTGCCTTGCAATATTAATTCGGCAGCCTTCTTTGTACTTTGCAAACTTGTTCAGTTGCAAATTTGCATTACACATTATATAACAAAAATAAATAAAAATAAAAAATATATTCATGTGGCATGACAAATAAGATTGCAAATGGGTACACTTGCAGGGGTAAGTTCAGCCTTATTTGAGCCCAGATGGTGACATCATTGACTGTGTTCACATGTCTCACCAACCAGCTTTTAATCATCACTTTAATATTTATTTATATTGACTTCTAATCAGCGCTAAAGCTTGAGTATGGAATCAGCAGTTAAGAAATATCAGCAAAGATTCATGTATCCCCCCTGTACGCAAACAACTGAAGCAACACTTCAAATTTCAATAATGGATAAAACGGAGGTGTACTTCAGACTTCAAAGAGTTATTTTCATTTTGATTAATGTGATTTTTATCCCATAAGTTTTAATTTTGAATTTTGACACATTTATTCTTTTACTTTTGAATTTTTTATTTTACTCTACATTGAGATCAAAATATTTAAATATTCTAACATATGAAAGGATAGAATTTGGAAAGATATTCCAAACATTTTGAAATTTGATTCTACCACATGTACTGTACTCCCAAATTGAACGTAAAGCTAAGAACATTAATTATAGCATCATTTGTACATATTGGAACAAACCTAGATCTATATGTCTGAATTTACACGTACAATGCTTTAAATTGAATCAGCTACCAACAAGGCAATTCAATTCATATACCAATAGAGGAGTACATGATGTAATGTTTGAACAACCAAGAAAACAAAAAATGTCACTCCCTTTACGGATAGTTATACATATGCCATAGATTTGGGTCCACCTTACAAGGTGAATCTGGGTTATATTAACAATTTTTGAGACTATGAATCTGTTTGACAGAGCTTATTTAGGGGTTTATAACTTATTTTAAGCTATTAATAAGTTATAAGCTTTGTTTGCTAATGTTTTCAAACTAAGCTCATAGCTTAAAATAAGACCTTATTTTGGAACGCTACATTAGGTACCGTTGCAAAATAAGCTAGTAGTTTCCTAACTTTTTTTTTTCCATCTTTGTCCTTATTATTTTTTAAAAAATAGCATCCTTTAGCCTTCCCAATTAAAACTCTTTTCTCTTCTCCTTTATTCACAACTTTCATCGCAAATATTATTATTATTATTATTATTATTATTATTATTATTATTATTATTATTATTATTATTATTATTATTATTATATGAAGGAGATTCACAAAAATATTACTACTTCATTATGGGATGTTAGATCATGATTATGCTAATAGTTTTATTTCAAAATGTTAATTTTTTTAAAGACAAAATGTTAAATTTTAATATGTAAACAAACTAATTCAAATTTTATGATTTTTTTTTTTTGTCTTTTTACATTTATCACCTTATCAAAAAGTTAATTCTACCAAACATTTTCAAACTTAACAGCTCTTCAGTTTTCAGCTTTCAGCTACCTTTTCAGCTAGGTTTGCCAAACATAGCCTATATTCACAATTTTAGAACTGAATATTCACAACCAATGATTTTTTTTAATTATTGAAAACAACTCAACGAGTAAATATTCAGTTATGTAATTGTGAATATAGAGTTTAAAAATTGTGAATATAGATCAGAGTTATGCAATTGTGAATATCGAGTTCTGTAATTTTGTGTATTGAGATCTAAAATTGTATTCAGTACTAATATTGTGAATATACAGTTAAAAATTGTGAATATAGAGTTCAAAATTGTGAATATAACCCGGATCCACCTTGTAAGGTGGACACGGGTCCATGACATAATTTGCCCTTCCCTTAATAATGTTGGACCCCTTTTTTTTTTTGGCCCCGTCTCTATAAATAAATGAGGCCCTATCAAAAGTATAAGTGCAATCTTTAAAACCAATATTGTAAAATATATGATTTTTATATTTCAAATACGTATGAACGGTGTAAATATTAGGCCCATGCACCATGCTTACGCAAATTATGTTGTGCAACCGAATGCACCATGCGCATGGTGCATACGATGCAAAACGACGTCGTTTTGGTTAAAAAAAAAAACGCGCGTCCCACTTAAAAAAGAAATCAGGTTCGATTCCGGCAATAGCATTTTTATATATCCATAAATTCATAACTATATATCCACAAATTCATAACTATATATCCATAGTGAATGAATGAAGTAAAAATCCACAATATATCCATAAATTCATAACTATATATCCACAGTGAATGAATGAAGTAAATATCTACAATGAATGAACTAAATATCCATAAATTTATAAATATATATCCAGAAATTCATAACTATATATCCAGAAATTCATAACTATATATCCACAATAATGCTATTGCCGAGAATCGAACATGAATTTTTTTTTTTTAAGTGGGACGCGCGTTTTTAGTCAAAACGGCGTCGTTTTGCATCGTATGCACCATGCGCATGGTGCATTCGGTTGCACAGCATAACTATTGACATGCTTACTTTCAAAAAAAAAAAAAAAGTATGAACGGTGTAACACCAGTTGAATGCAAAAATCATAGTTCCTACGGTAAAATATATGATTTTTATTTCAAATAAGTATGAACGGTGTAAATATTAGGCCCTTTAAAAATTGAAGCAATGTGTTGTTGCCCATCTTGCACATCCTAAAATCCGGCCATGCTTAATGTGTATGTTTTTCCGGCCGGCCTTCATCTATCATGAGCGAGCTTATCCTAAGGAATACAATTTTAATTTGCTAAAAGTTATAACGAATATAGATAATAAATTTGTCAAAGATTTTGTGATCAAGTAGTATTAGATCTGACAATTCGTATATACAGGTTCGTTAATGGGTTCCTTGAGTGGCATTAGATCTGGCAAGCCTAGGAGGGGGCGGTATTCAAAAATAAATAAATAATAAACTTTTTCAGATTTCCTTTCAACCAACTTTCAGAGGGTGGCTTCATTTATCTTCATTTTCTTTGTTAACCCTAAATGTAAAAATGGAAATATAATCATGTGTGCAAATAATGTATGTAGAATAATTTTTTTTTAAAAAAAATATTGTCCATAGTCCTTGAATAAATTCCTTTCAACCAAAAAAAAAAAAAAAAAACTATGTAAATTATTAAATGACTACCTGTATGTCTAACTGTCATATATAATGGTACTCATAATGGTAAGCTGCAAATTTTAGGCTATAAATATGGATGGATTGAAGACATGGAAATGCAAGAAGTAGCAGTATAAGCTCTCCAGTACATATAGTGAAGCTAAAAATGGCATCACTTCCACTTATTGCAGAGAAAGATAGTGAAATTCTTGATTCTCAAACTCACATATGGAACCACATCCTCAATTTCATCAACTCTGGTTCCCTCAAATGTGCAGTTCAGCTGGAGATACCAGACATCATCCACAAACACGGCCAACCCATGACCCTCACCCAGTTGGTGAATGCTCTCCCAATCAACAACGCAAAATCCACCCACCTTGCTCGCCTCATGCGCACATTAATTCATTCCGGCTTCTTTGTCATCACCAAGACCGAAGGGTCTGATGATGAAGGCTATGCCCTCGCCCCGCCTTCTATTCTACTCCTTAAAGACAACCCCTTGAGCGTCAGACCTTTCGTGCTAGCTATGCTTGATCCCATTTTGACAAAGCCATGGCACAATATCAGTGAGTGGTTTCAGAACGATGACCCCACGCCGTTTGATACGGTTCATGGGATGAGCTTATGGGACTATGCTGGTAAGGAGCCCAAGCTTAACCACTTCTTTAACGACGCCATGGCCAGCGATGCCCAGCTAGTTATGAATGTGGTGATAAAGTATTGCAGGGGAGTGTTTGAGGGCTTGAATTCACTTGTTGATGTTGGTGGTGGCACTGGAACTGTGGCCACAACCATCGCTCACGCTTTCCCTCATCTTAAGTGCACTGTGTTTGATCTTCCGCATGTTGTCCAAGGCTTGGAAGGTACTAAGAACTTAGACTATGTTGGAGGTGACATGTTCGCGTCCATTCCTCCTGCAGATGCTCTTTTACTCAAGGTAAATTCATGCATCATATCTCTTCATTTCGATACCCGAAAGTGTACACGAGGTGACCCGCCATTGTAATCCTAACTGACAAATGACTACAAGTAAGTAAACCAGTTTGTTACCTATAGATCAACTAAGAAGTCTAATAAGTCACTCCTGTGGAGAGTTAAACTTGTAACTTTATAGCTACCAAGTCAATAGGTTACCAATTTGGTTGGGTTGCTCATTCATTTCTATATAATTATTCTTATTATAATATGACTTTCTAGTGCGTGTAACATAAGTGTACGTTATGATGCATATATGTGCAGTGGATATTGCATGATTGGAGCGACGAAGAAAGCATGAAAATATTGAAGAAATGTAAGGAATCAATTCCCAGTAAAGAAAATGGAGGGAAGGTTATTATAATAGACATGGTGGTAGATGATAAGATAAAAGATGATAAGTCTATTGAAACTCAGATTTTCTTTGATATGTTGATGATGATTCTACAGACAGGAAGAGAGAGAGCAGAGAAAGATTGGTCAAAACTCTTCTTTAAAGCTGGGTTCAATGATTACAAAATAATTCCAATCTTGGGATTAAGGTCCTTAATTGAAGTTTATCCTTGACAGATTATTGATCTTGTTATATGTGATTAGATAATAAATATGTGATAAATAATACTGGTATGATTCCTGGGAATCGATCGCCTATTGACCTGATCTTAGATGATATTATTTCTCTACTTTATTACTTTTCTAATGTTCGTCTTTGTTTTGTGAAGCCCTTTGCTAATGGTGTGGCTCATATCTTAGCTAAGGATGCTAGTTTGCATTTAAGTAGTAGGTTTGGATAGACTCCAGCCCCTCCTTTATCTATACTGCTTTATGTAATGACGTGATGAATTATAGAAGTTTCATTTGTGGTTTGTTTTCAAAAAATAGCTAGTGTGATGATTCCTACAAATGTACGGTTGAATTGTAGATTAGAAATTCACAACTGCTAAGTTATTTAATTATTTTTTTTTTAAATACTCTGTTGATCGCTAATAATAATCTTTGTTATCTTTGCTTTTTTAAAAATACATTTGCAAGGAAAAAGGAAGACCCTATAATAATAACGACAAGAATAAAAAAATAAATTATATTGGACTATAATCTTCTGTGACTCAACCTAAATTCCTAACACATTCTGATGCAACATATGTCATTTTCTGCAGAAAATGATAATTATTGTGTTTGAGGAAGTAACACTTATACCACATGTCTTAATTTTATTAGAGAAAAAATAAATTAAACTTGTGACTTATCAATTTTTTAAAATATTAATCAAAATATGTTACAACAATAAATGTTTTAAAATATTAATTAAAACACATTGCATCAATAAAAAACAAAAATAAAGAGATAAGGGTCAAATTGACTCCTAACAATATGTCAAAACGCAAGACTCTCAAACTCAAAAACATTTAATTGCCACCAACTACCATCTAATGCGATGTCATCCCAATTACTCAATGGATGGCCATAAGTTTGAACCGATTGTGAAGCTTTGGGGTCGTTTACTTCATTTCTCTATTTCTCCATTTTCAGTTTTCAGTGTGAACATATAGCCATTAATGTGCAATCCAATTATTAGCTTAAGCTTTTAGTTGAGATGGAGCACATGCTTCAATTTGGTATCAGAGCCACCCCAAAGGTCATGAGTTTGAATCTCAAAAGCGCCACTCATAAGCGACTACGATTTACCGGTCCACCTATTATACAACATTTCTCTGTTTCTCCATTTTCAGTTTTCAGATGCTAGCGTTTCTCAGGCAGTGACCACTGTTCGCCCGTCCATTCTCCATCTTCTCCAAAAATATACATGAAGTTACTCATAAGCGACTACGGTTTACCGGTCCACCTATTATACAACATTTCTCAAACCGGTCCACCTATTATACAACATTTCTCTGTTTCTCCATTTTCAGTTTTCAGATGCTAGCGTTTCTCAGGCAGTGACCACTGTTCGCCCGTCCATTCTCCATCTTCTCCAAAAATATACATGAAGTTAAAAAATGGAGAAGAGTTAGACAAATGGGAGAAGAAATTTAATAAACAACTTTTTAAATTTTTGTTTTTTTCACTTCTTAATTTCTCCATTTTTCCAAGTTGATAAACAACATCTTAGGTTCTCTAATTAAATTTATGCAATTAACATATTTAAATTCCGGGCTTGCCGTCCTTCCCATGATGAAAAAAAGAAGAAGAAGATTATGTACTCACACATTTAAATTTATATATTTACAACTATTAAATTATGTACATAGTAAAGGTGAGTGTTGACCAAACAAAAGGAAAAGAAAGAAATTAAAAGACTGATCTAACTCGAACAAAATTTTATCATTCTAAAGTATAAACAATAATACATAATACAAACACTACTGAAAATTATGGAATTTCCGACCACCTAAAAGTAATCTTTTAAATCAAGTCGAAAGTCTTGTTCCGATCATTTTTGGTATCCGGAAAAACTTTTGTTACTATTTCCGACCACTTTTTGGTATTAACTTGATTTAAGATCACTTTCAGGTGGTCGGAAATTCTATAATTTCGAGTAGTGAAAGTAGATCATAATTGTGTATGATATAATTTGTGACAAGCTAAGCCTGCTGTCAAAGTCAATATAGGTAAAAAAAAAATATTGTTGAAAGCATGAATTGATTAAATACACATTCAGTGGCGGCTAATTAAAGCATGGATTCATGGTATGTACATGTTATAAATACAGAGCCCAGATGGTGACATCATTGACTGCGTTCACATGTCTCACCAACCAGCTTTTAATCAGCCCTTTCTCAAGAATCATACAATAATTTAGATAACCTCAAACCCCCTTCTTTTTTGTTTGTATATATATACACGGCATGTAAAAGTTTCGTTATCATTATGGTGGTGGTTAGATGAGCTCAGCTTATCTACTTAAGAAGATATACCTCTCCCAGAACCTCAACCCTTTCTTTTTTGTTTTTTTATATATATATATATGTGTTCAAATGAGGACCATTTATATGAGAATTGAACATGAGGATATTTTTTGACCATTAGATCTAGATTTTTAATTTGATGGTTGAGATTTTTCTATATTTTTGGTATTTTTGTTTTCATAATTAATTTACATGAGTGGGATTGTAATTGTGTGTGTTTTAAATTGATTTAATTTTTAATACATATCTTTTGCTTGATTTTAGAACTTTTAATTATGATAAAATTACTCTAGTGAGTTTTTGACGTTGAGGACATGGAGAAGCTAATGATTTCGTCAAGTGCCTGTTGTGCTGATCGAATTACAGGTTTTGATTAGAAGATGATGTACGTGTAAAAATGAAAATTTTAGAGTGGATAAATAAACATAAACGAATTGTACTGGAGAGAACATACAAACGTTGGAAACGCAAAATCAAAAGGTGGGACGACACGAACTGTGGATATGAAGACTATTCGGATGGTTAAGATTTCCTAACCATGTGGATTTTTGCGTTGAATTATATTCAAACAAATGTAGTTACTTGGAGGATGGTGAATCCAATTCCTTGTATCACTTCGGTATTTTTTTATTTTTTTTGTTTGGGTGAGAGTGTGATATTTGGGCGGCAGAGTGAGGTTGTGCGCATGATTGAGGAGGAATGTGGGGTTTTGTATTGTATAGTGTGCATTTGTTTGGTCCGGTGTGTATATTTGGTTGTGTATTCGTGTACATTCTTATGGTGCTGGGTTCTGGTAGAGTGGTTGTGCATTCTATCATGTTCGGGTCTTCGGTGGCATTGTCAAGGTGTGGTTGGTGGTTCGTGTGCACTTGTTCTGTTGTGTGCATCGCAGTGGATGCCAGGTTTTGCCAGCTACGATTGTTGTTTGGGAGTGTTTGGCAAATAGTTGTTAGCTGATTGGATTAGTGGGTTTGACTAGTTGATATTGATTATAGAAAAATGTTTGGTAAATTAGCGGTTAGCTATAGCTGATTACATGCAAAATGATTTTCTCAAAAAAACTTATTGAAAAAACTACTTTGACTAGCTTTTTGAATTTTAGCATTTTTGAACAATAAGTTTTGATAAAAAATTAATTAATCAAACACTCATATTGATTGTTTAAACAAGTTAAACAGCTAAAATGGTCAAATAAGTCAAAATTAATTGATAAACTAATTATTTTACCAAATATGACCTTTGTAGTTTTTTTTGTTTTTTTTTTTTTTTGGGTATAATGTGTGCATCTTTTTGTGGCATTTTGTGCATTTTGTGCTTTGTCATTGTTTTTGTTTTTTTCAGCACACGGAGCTTAATCAAGCACACTTGACTAGTCTGTTATGGATACTTCACTTGGTGAAACGAAGTATTGGTCACCAACTTGGGACAATCTATCAAGTTTTTTATTGGACAACGTTTTGATAATTTGTAGCATAGAGGTTTATTTATATATATTGGCATTTGAATCATGCACACTTCTTTGTACTATTGTATGCATTTTAAACCACTTTTAGACCACTCTGAGATATTGGACAAATATCACTAGATTAACATTTTACAATACTTTGGACGTTTTTTAAGTAGTGTAACAACACACCACACAAATGCACATAAATGAAATAACATAAGAACAACAAAACACATGTCTAAAGGATGATAAAATGTACGAATATAATACATGCACGGCATACCATGTAGAATGCACTAAATGGCCACGTGATGCACACAACTGTAAACAACATATATTGCACAACGCAAGTGCACAAACAGGTAATAGTGTGATGTGTGCATTAGTCTGAAGCATACCAAAATGCACACGATAGAGCATAAAATGCACACACCACACTATCGTCAAATCACACCAAAATGCACATGATAGAGCATAAAAGTGCACACATCACACTACCGTCGACGCGATGACATAAAAAAAAAATCAAAGTCAACTGTTGAAATAAATACGAATAAAAAACTCCAAAAATAAATAAATAATACAAGCATAATAAATAACAATATTCTACCACAAAGAATCATATTCTACCATAAATACATTCTTAAAATACTCTACCAATACTATATGGTCTAATGATATCCGGGTTAGACTTTTATTTGAAAAATTGTGAATTCGAGCCTTAGTGGAGGTGTTATTGACTTTTTGTGTTTCAGTAGGCCTTTATTAATTACTTCCCTATTAATTAACACAAACAAAATGGGATGGAATGAGTATTATTTTAACACAATGAATGTGACCCCACGTGAATCGCATGGCTGCAGGGTACGACCGGCAGGCAAAGCAAGCTGGAAGCTTTGGATCGGAGTTTGAATCAGTCTCCGACTTATATAAAATAAAATGACTAACCGGATCCTGCATATCTCGTTGATTCATTTTATAATTACTTCTTTAATATTTCCACAAATAAATAAATAAATACACAAATTATTTATGTACCTCTCTGATCTTGTGCATGCATATCGGTAGAATTACATTAATTTGTTACAAGTTAATATCCAATATAATTCTTTCAAAAGGCTGAACCCCAACCCTAAGGGCCTGACAGAGCGGTGGGAGGTTGTAAATTATGGTGACTAAACTGAACATTAATCACAGAGGCTAGACCGGTGCTCACTGCGCACAAGGAGCCCCTACTGGCGCTGGTGAGACTCGATCCCTGGTCATTCTTCCAAAGTTTCACCTCTATGATTAGTTAAGCTACTCATGCGGGCAATATCCAATATAATTATTGACGAGATAAGTGGAGTAGAGAAATATAATATATTTTTGGATTCAACTTGAAATATTATATTGTTATAATAATAGTTGGGATATGATGTAGAGTTATAATAGTTGGGAAGAATATTGTTATAATAATAGTTGGGATATGATGTAGAGTTAATGAGGGAGCGTGATAGTTAGCGTCGGAGACTCGAGGCCAATTTTCCAAGCAATACGGGTGCAAAGGAAAGAGTATGTCCTTTAGTAACTTAGTATAAATACTTATATGTTGTTGTAATGATCCGACATGATATTTCTCTTGTATAAATTTTTTTTTTTTTGATTCCATGATATTAAACTCAATTAATATCGTCAGTTATAAATTAAAATTTTTAATTGTCTTCTCGAGTATCAATAGACCGGCCACTTAGTCAATTTACATAACCTAACAATATGAGATAACTAGCTAGTAGACAAACTATCAATAAAATATCTTAAATGATTAATTATATGACAACATGCATGATAAAACTAATACTCTATAGTTGTTATGTGAAAGCTGATGTTTAGTTATATATTATCACATCTCATAAGAAATTGTAGAAACTAACAGCTATAAATTAAAATAATACAACTAAAATATAAGCTTGCCGGCACAGTGATCCAACTATTAATATAAATATTTAATACAACGAACGACTACACCTATAGTCCAATTAATATATATATATATATATATATATATATATATATATATATATATAAAAGAACCTACATACTGTCACTTTCGTTACAAGATTGTAGTCATTTTGACATTTAGGGTGCATTCGATCAAAATTTTTGTACATTTTACTCTTTTCAAATTTTGTAAATTTTAAAAAATATTTTATTACAAAATCTTAGAGTGACTGCCAACTGCATGGTGTTCGTCCTCTTCTAGTAGTAGATTTGTAAAAGTTACGTGGTCTAGTTTCATTTATAATTTAGCTTTCAATCTCTCTTTTGATGTATCTAATAAAATGTCTTGTATCACAAATATTTATAGGCTTTCATTTTTAAAAATATATAAAAATCATTAAAATTCTAAATAAATAGATTATACATTTATAAACTTTCATTTATAAATTAATATATTATACGCTTAAAATGATAATAGATAAATGAGAAACTGAGTCTTAAAATAGATCTATTAACGTTAAAAATGGAGTTTGATTTTTCAAATCGTTTAACAGTAGAAGCACCTCTCGGTGCTAATTAATATGCACTAGCACCTTAGGTGGCATTTTGGTGGTCAAGCAACACCTTTAATTTTGTGAAAGGTGCAATTTAAAAGTGCTTGGAAGCATCTGTCAAAGGCCTTGTGGTTGAGCGGTATAATATAGTTGTGAGCCTCTGACCCCTCAGATGAGAAGTCTTAGGTTTAAACTTTGGTTTGTGCGTTAGTAAGTTGAGAAAATATATGTTCTAATTTATCCACTAAGACTAACGTTACAACACTTTTAACACCATCGGAAAGTAACATATCGATTTTAAGGAAACTGTTTACGTATTACACAACTTGAATCATTTGTTTCTTTTCCTTTTCCTTGCATGATACGTGGGATTATATTTATAAAATTTAAATCCCTTTGTTTATATATAGAAAGTTGTTAAACTTACCATAAGTTTGGAGGGTTGTAAGATTTTTTTTTTTTTTTTTTTTTTTTTTTAGTTTGTAGGGGTCCATTTAATAGAAAAAAATTAAATTTTTATAGAAATTTAATGATCAAAGTACATGTGAAGTCTCTTCACTACATTCTTAAAAAAATAAAAAATAAATCAATAAAAAAAACAAATTGTGCTTATTCGGGATTAGCTTTATCCCAATCCTGTCAAATTTTATTTTATTAATATTTAAAGTAATATTTATGTGGTCTAATGATAACCGGGTTGGATTTCCATTTAGAAGGTTGTGAGTTCGAGCCTTAATAGAGGCGTTATTAGTATATGAATAGATACTACACTGTAATAAAGCCAGTAACATTCAAAAAAAGTAATTAATTTAATCACTAATATATTAATATATCCAGATTTACAAAATAAATAATAATGGAAACTCAATAATGCGCAATTAGGCCACCGAACTACTTTAAAAAGCTACAATTGGATCCCTGAACTAACGAATTCTATTCAATTAGTCTAATTTGTAGGTTTCCAAGTTGTTAGCAGATTATCCCTTTTCAAAAATTTTATTAATTATTATTTAAAATAATTATTTAATATTAATAATTTAAAAAAAAAAAAAAAAAAAAAAAAAACAGATCGACACGCCGGAGACGAAGAAGGTTTCTTCGTCTCCGGCCATGGAGACGGAGACGAAGAAACCTTCTTCGTCTCTGGTTGGAGACGAAGAATATCTTCGTCTCCATGGCCGGAGACGAAGAGACTCTTCGTCTCCGGCCATGGAGACAAAGAGTTTCTTCGTCTCCGGTCATGGAGACGGAGTTAACTTCTTCGTCTCTGGCCGAAGATGAAGGAAGCCGGAGACGAAGGAACCTTCTTCGTCTCCGGCCAGAGACGAAGAAATTAACTCCGTCTCCATGGCCGGAGACGAAGAAGGCGTCTCTGGCAGAGACGGTATTTTTTTTTTAAATTTAAATTTTAATTTTAAATAATAATTTTTAAAAAAATATTATAAATTAGGGGTGACATGCTAACAACCTTCAAAACTTACAAATTGGACTAATTGAATAGAATTAGTTAGTTCAGGGAGCTAATTGTTACTTTTTAAAGTTCGATGGCCTAATTGCATTATTAGGTGCAATTCGATGGCCTATTTGACCCTTATTCTAATAATAATTAATACCTCCCACAAATTTTAACTCCTCAACCTCTCACTAAATTATTATTATTTTGTCCTCCTCTACTAGGCAACCAATTTATTATTACTCAGCAAAATTTAATTAAAGATAATCTTATTATGAGAAATGTATAAAATTTTATTTATATTTTAAAAATAAATTTTCATACAAATTAAAATAAACTTATAGTTTAGAAAACAATTTATACTGATAGAAAAAATAATAATAGTAACAATTAAAATTTTCGATCTATTCATATGTACAACTTTTTAACACTTAAATTATTTAATTTTTATTTTAAAATACGTTTGTTTAAAATTTTGATAGTTATATTTTATTTAAAAACTTATGTTACAGGCTAGGTATTCTAAAACAAAATTTAAGTATGGGAAATTTACTCGAAGAATGGGAAATTTTTTAGAGTAAACTTCTACTCTAAATTATTGAATGGCACTGTCTGTCTAACGTCATATAATGGTGAGCTGCAATTTTTAGGCTATAAATATGGATGAATTGAAGATATGGGAATGCAAGAGATAGCAGCATATATAGCACCACATTTTTTTTTATTATAAGCCAGCCAGCCAGCCTCTGATCTGAAGCTCAAAATGGCATTGCTTCCACTTATTGCAGAGAAAGATAGTGAAGTTCTTCATGCTCAAACTCACATATGGAACCATATCTTCAATTTCATCAACTCTGGTTCCCTCAAATGTGCAGTTCAGCTGGAGATACCAGACATCATCCACAAACACGGCAAACCCATGACCCTCACCCAGTTGGTCAACGCTCTCCCAATAAACAAATCAAAATCCGCCCAACTTGGTCGCCTCATGCGCACATTAACTCATTCTGGCTTCTTTGTCTTGACCAAAATCCCCGGGAGCGAAGGGTCTGAAGGGTACGCCCTCGCCCCGTCTTCCACTCTCCTCCTTAAAGACAACCCCTTGAGCGTCAGACCTTTCTTGCTAGCTATGCTTGACCCCATTTTGACACAGCCATGGCACAATATCAGTGACTGGTTTCAGAACGACGACCCCACGCCGTTTGATACGGCTCACGGGATGACCTTCTGGGACTATGCTGGCAAGGAGCCCAAGCTTAACCACTTCTTTAACGACGCCATGGCTAGCGATGCCCGGCTAGTTATGAATGTGGTGATTAAGTATTGCAGGGGAGTGTTTGAGGGCTTGAATTCACTTGTTGATGTTGGTGGTGGCACTGGAACTGTGGCCACAACCATTGCTGACTCTTTCCCTCATCTTAAGTGCACTGTGTTTGATCTTCCGCATGTTGTCCAAGGCCTGGAAGGTACTAAGAACTTGGACTATGCTGGAGGGGATATGTTCGTGTCCATTCCTCCTGCGGATGCTCTTTTACTCAAGGTAGATTCATGCATCATATCTCATCATTTCAATATAAAATGAGTTAGATGTAGTGTATAATTTGACTTTTTGATCTAGTCTAACACAAGTGTTATGGTGCATGTGCAGTGGATATTGCATGATTGGAGTGACCAAGAAAGTGTGAAAATATTAAAGAAATGTAAAGAATCGATTCCCAGCAAAGAAAAAGGAGGAAAGGTTATTATAATAGACATGATGGTGGATAATAGGATAAAAGATGATGAATCTGTTGAAACTCAGATTTTCTTTGATATGTTGATGATGATTCTGGTGACAGGACGAGAGAGAGCAGAGAAAGATTGGGCAAAACTCTTTTTTGAAGCTGGCTTCAGTGACTATAAAATAATTCCAATCTTGGGATTAAGGTCCTTAATTGAAGTTTATCCTTGAGGGCATGGATCAATATTATATTGTTCATCTTGCACTATGTGATAATATAATAAATATGTGATAGAAGTTTATCCTTGAGGGATTAGTATGGTTGATCTTGCTATATGTCTCTAGAAATTAAAAGAATAACCAAATAAATTATAATATCTTCTTCTGAGTCTGTGTTAAATTCTTATATGCAGCATGTCTCCAGAAAGTATTGATAACAATATCCTCTTCTGAGTCTGTGACACATTGTAATGCAAAATATGTCTTCAGAAATTGATTATAATATCCTCTTCTGGGTCCGTGGCCCATTCTGATGCAAAATATATCTCCAGAAATTGATAATGGTGTATGAGGAGATAAACTTTATTAAAAACACATTTGATATATGCTTTTCATAATTTTTCTAAATCTATTTATGAAATTAGAAAATATCATCACACGTATGTGATTGATGATTTTTCCCATCTCAAAAATTTCAGTACAATTGATAACGGTATAACGGGACAGTACGAATATATGTTCTTGTAGAGGTGGTCACGAGCCAGTTCAAAGTTGAACTAACCTTAAATTGACCTGAAAAAAGTGTGTATGGGCTTCACTGAACTTAGGTCGGGCTTAGTCCATATTAGAACGGACTTTAAGTAAAAGAAACATCAGAAAACATAATCAATTCAACCCGGTCATCTCATCAATTGCTTTATATAATATTCGTTATAATTTATATAATTGTATATCGTTCTAAATATTTTTTTAAAAAATATTATAACAAATCCATTGTGAAAATACTATCTGATTATAATATCCCCTTCTGGGTCCGTGACCCATTCTGATGCAAAATATATCTCCAGAAATTGATAATGGTGTATGAGGAGATAAACTTTATTACTAGTCTTAATTTTGTTAGAGAAAAAAAAGAAGAAGAAAAGAAATAAAAATGGTGGCTTATAATTTTTCTAAACCAATTGGAATATGTTGCATCAATAAGACAATAAAAAGTAAAAAAAATAAAGAGTTTATCCCAGTGGAGGTCTTATGTCATTGATGACAATTTCAAATTTAGTCTCAGAGTATCATTTTTGTTATTTAACATCTCATACTATCATATTTTAGACACTTTTAATTCTTTTCGATGACTTTTATGGTGAAATTATATTTTAGGGAATAGTATTTTCGTCTTTTTAATTTTTAATTATTTTCCCAATAAGTTAATTCTAACGGTGGTCAATTGTCTTTGATGTCAATTTCTAAATCAATTTTCCCATTTAACAACCAAACCTATCATATTTTAGACACAGAAGTATTAAAAAAAAAAAACGTACGTTGCAGCAAGGTGATATATTGTGTGGTATTATTTTGCCCTGTCCTTATTAGGAACCGCATATTGAAAATACATTTCAAGTATTGATATGTTTATGGCAGATGATATGGTTATGACTTATGATGTGACATACTAATTCATTTTTAAAAAACATATGCAACAATTTTTATTAAATATTAAAAGAAAATTATTAAAAACGTGATTGTATTGCAGCCAAAAAAACTGTAAAAATGTGTTGATGGATTTACCAACTAATCTAACTCACTTTTTATTAATATTTATCTTTTTTTTTAATACTAATACTAAAAGTTTAAGTTTTAGTATTAGGTACTCTCTTGTGAGAATGATCCTTAATTATCTGTGAAACGAAACTCGTTAGGATCAAAATGTAGTACTTATATTAAAAAATGTAGTACTAATAATGAATAATGTGTTTGTTACATATAAAGGAAAATGTAATACTTTTGAATCAAAATGTAAAAGTATTACATTTTTCATCAAAAATATTATACTTTCCCTTATAAGTAACAATCACTTTATTCCTAATTAGTATTATATTCTGTATTACATTTTTCAATATAAGTATTACATTTTGATTTTGATGCAATCTATTTTACGGACAAGAATTCGTAAGACAGTCATACACAAATTCTTGCCAAAAATCAATAAATATATGACGAACATTTTAACTAATAGAGTATACTTACCAATTTCTTATAGACATTTTAAGAAAAATAGTTAAATGAATCCTCTAACTATTAATGAAACAACATTTTGAGCTTTAAAATTTTTTAATTAAACACTCAAAACTTAGAATCCAATTTAGTAACCAATATGTTATCGTTTAAAAATGATGACATGATAGAACTTTCGTTTTACATGTCCTTTTTTATTTTTAATTATTTTATGTAAAATTTTACATTTTAAACGTTTGATTTTTCCATCATTCGTGGTTGAATTGCCGCTCTACCACTACGATTGAAGAAGTGGAATGCGATCACATTTTTCAGATTCAAGAAGAAGATGACTAGTGTAGGAAAAATAGTGATAGTGAATGCACCATGTGAAATGTCGTTCTCAGAGGATTGAAGATATATTACAAGCCTTTGAGGATTGAGGTTATGACACGTAATATATAATTACAAGTAATTAGGCACTAGCACTAGGAAATACACAAGAAGCAAGCAATCCTAAACAAATTGTAAGGTTAAGGTAACTAAACAAAATACCAACATATAAACAAGAGATAAATATGAAATAAAGAAATAATACCTAGGTGCATTATCTTCTAGATACATCAACGACCTATAGGATTAGGGAGAACAAATTACCAAGGATTCAATCGGGAATGCACGTATGTATCCTAGTCTAAATAAAAAAGAGTTATAACAAAGAATTGCCCCACTCTCATGGTGTATCAATTCTAAGTCCATCAAGCACACAAGCATCTTAACCCCTCAATTCTCCTATTTTCATAGGAGCAAATCGGGTTTCTGCCAGGAGTGGCTCAAATCCTTGACCTAATTCTCATTGTAGCCCAGAATTCTTCAAATACATGCTAATGAATGTATGCAATGAGTGGCTCAAATCCTTGACCCAATTCTCATTGTAGCCAAGAATTCTTCAAATACATGCTAATGAATGTGTACATGAAACATTAAAAAGATATAAAACTAAGCCGACAACCTTTTTTTGGATGCTACTGACTCTATTACATATTGTAGTATTTGTTCAAATGTACTTTTTTTCTTAACCAAATGAAACATACAGAGTCAACGACGCCTCCACTTAGACTCGATCTCATAACCTCCCACATGGAAGAGGTCACTACATGCCATCTGAGCACTAGGTCGACAACATATTTAAACATTAATCTCGTAAAACAAATCTACGAAAAAGTTTACAAGTATAGTTTGAACTAATTCTACTAATTAATCAAATTGTAACACAGCTTGTACTAATATAACAGGAATTTCATAGCAGCGCCTTTCAAATAATCCCTTAGCTTGTAGTACATTCCAGAAAAATATATTTTTTTTTTTTCGATTTGAAAACTTCAAATTCTTTATTACAAAGATGCCTATTTATAATCTCTTTGTTCCCTTGATTCTTGGCAAGATGACCTAACATCCCACTAATGTAGTTTCATTCCCATTTCCCACGTAATAACCACACAACCACATCATGCATACATGTTCCTCACTTATTGTTTCCACAGTACAATTCATGCATTATATTCATTTTGAATTCCTAACCACACATGCATACACGTTCCTCACTCATCATTTCCACAATTCATGCATCATGTCATCAATTTAATATTAACAACATGCTTGTTTATCTAATGCCAATTAAAAGTAGTACTAACTAATACGGAGTACAGTATATATATATATATATATATATATATATATATATATATATATATATATATATATATATATATATTATATACTTTAATATATAGATTAAGTATAGTGCATGCAATTAATATATATTTGCATGCACTATACTTAATCTATATATTAAAGTAATATATATATATATATATATATATATATATATATATATATATATATATATTAAGTACAGTAATATATACATATATGAATTGAGGGGGAGAATGTGTATGAATTAAGAGGGAGAGCTTAATGTACATTTATGTATGTATTAAGGGGGAGAACTTGATGTACATTTATGCATGAATTGAGGTGGATAACTCGTTACATGTTTGTTTGATCAATATATATATGTCAAAGGGAGAGATTGATAATACTATATATTCATGTGAATTAATTATATATACAATTATACATCAATCATTGTTTTCAAAAAAAATTATACACCAATCATTCAAAAAAAGATTTTATGGCCTACTGTTAATTCAACAAATTCGGGCAAAAGATATAAGTGGAATATAAAAATCAGACACAAAATTGGATACGCTATTATTAATAGATCATGGAATTGCTGAATATATATATTTTTCATAATAAATAATTAATTAAATAGATAACGTACTCAATTTATATATTGCTGAAAATGAATAAAAACATGTGATAGGCTGACGGTAACGTAACCCGATAAAGATGCGACAGAGATTCTTTTTTTTTTTTTTTTTTTTACAGGAGATGGGCCAGAGATATGCATTGATTAATTAACAATACAACCCATGATTGAATGTGTATATATATTTGAGATGATGAGACTGTATATAATGCAAGTAGCAAAAGTAGTATTAGCTAGCTAGTTGAAAATAGGGATGGCATTGCAGGAGATGAATGAGATTGTCGGTGCCCAAACTCACATATGGAACCACATTTTCAACTTCATAAATTCATCTTCTCTCAAATGTGCAGTTCAGCTAGGCATTCCAGACGTCATTCACAGACATGGTCAACCCATCACGCTTGAAGAGCTAGTTGACACCCTCGCTATCAACAAGGCAAAAGCCCACCACCTTGGTCGCCTCATGCGCGTCTTGACTCGTTCCGGCTTCTTTCTTGACGCCAAAATCAAGGACGGCGACGGGTATGCCCTCGGGCCACCGTCGTGTCTTCTCATTAAAGACCATCCCTTTAATCTAGCACCTTTCGTGCTAGGGGCAAGCAGTACCATATTTACGGGCCCATGGCACCGTGTCAGTGAATGGTTCCACAACGATGATCCCACGCCGTACCAGACAGCGTACGGGAAAACCTTTTGGGACCGCGCAAGTCAAGACCAGGAGCTTAACCATTACTTTAACCAAGCCATGGCATGTGATACCTTACTTCTAATGGCTTTGGTCAAGAAATATTGTAGGGAAGTTTTTGAGGGGTTGGATTCACTAGTTGATGTGGGAGGTGGCACCGGGATGGTGGCTAGAGCCATTGCCGATGAGTTCCCGGATACCAAGTGTACTGTGTTGGATCTTCCA